TTAAAATATTTCATAATTATGACTGTTTGCCAGGTGACAGTTATTCTCAACAGAATTAGGATCGGTTTACTTACAGAACGAGAGAGTCCTCGCGCACACATGCTTCTTGTTGGCACAAAGTTTCTAAAAACGGATTTAGCGTGACATCTGGATCAGATCTGCGCTGTTTATTGAAAACTGTTTGCGCATTGCTCGCCCCGGCTGCTCCTGAATGCAACGAATGAACCAGCAACCGGGACCGTCCGTCAAAACGCTGCAACACAGCTTTCAGATCCATCACTAGACCTCAGTCACAGTATCGCTGAAGCCTGCTACTACGGTCAATTCAAAGTGATAGGCGTAGAGGTCCCAGACACAGTAGAAATATAGATCATCAAAACGATTTGTCAGCTCCGCTCATGTAGGAAGTTGTGTACCAAGTTTCGAATCGGTTCTTTATATGGCTCCAAACAAACGCTTATTGTACACTGAAGACCCCTGCAGGTTTGGAGCGGAATTACAATAGAGGAGCCCTCTGGCGACTTTCTGAACCAATTTTGCTGTAGTGTTTTCTTAAAGCATCTGTGGCTACAATTACTGGCAGCCCACATTCAAATTAAAGAGACTGAGAGGATCAGGTAAGGCAAACAGTGGAACTTTTTTTTTAATTTTCGCTCTTCTTTGAATATAAACGTACTAAAAGTCATAAAATGTGACATCAAGTCCTGGTATAACCTGTTAACACTGCTGAGGAGAACAATACAAAAGCCTGCTGACAGGTTGCACATTTAGTGTTTTGCAAAATACCGGCAATATTATAAACTACTACACAAAGTATACAAAATTAAAAACTGATTTCATATAAAGGTATCAGACAAAAGGGTACAATCAGGAATCGGCACAGATGGAGGTACTAAACGATCAACAAGTGAAGAGCAAGCTGAATAAGTGACCATGCATTCTGTTAACATTAACTTTTGGCCCTAGTCTCTCCCCAACACAACCTGAAGAGATACTCAATTTGAGATTTGAGCATTCAAACTTTTTCCCCCTCCCACCCACTCCCTTAAACTAAAGGCAAAAGACTCACTCATACACAAAAAAAGTAAATCTACATGGCTAAAGAATTGGCCAAACATTTAGGGCTAGCTAAAGTAAAGCCAACCCTAAAAAGAGAATTAAATTTCAGTGCAGAAGATAAGCAAAGCTCACTCAAGGCTAAGCCAACATATACATGACTAGAAGGTCCTTAGTCATCAAGAAAATCCAGAAGGTCATCATCATCCTCATCCAACAGAGTTAGGGCAAAAATGTAGCTCCAAAGTTGGATGCCATCAATGCCCAAATCCTCCAACATCTCAGCTGTGTGCTGAAAACAAATCAGATTAAAATGGCTAACTGATATTGTTCAATACAGCAAGCTTAACACTACAATACAGAATAGTGAACCATTCTCCCCCCCCCCCCCCCAAAAAAAAAAAAAAAAAAAACCTGCAGTTTACAAACATGGGACATCAATGCACAAAATATAAAGTAAAAAAATTAGTTCAATGCAAACGTTACCCTGGGTGCCGAGCGCCTGCGACGGTGTGTGTGATTAGGGGGCATGTCATGGCTGTAGATACACTCCGATTTAAAGGGGCAGCATCCGTGACGCATGAAGAAAGTGCACTTTAACTTACTAGAGAAACAATTCCAGAATCAACGTAAAGGATCAAATAAACCATTACAAAAGATTTGACAGCATGAATGCGAAACATTCTAACCTGCTTCTTTCTTTGAATGCGGCTATCAATGATGCCTTTTCCTCTCCATCACAGACCCAGTGCTTGCTGGGAATGTAAAAGGAGGATTTCACTCTGCACTGTGGACATCCCCTATTTAAAAAATAAATAAATAATAATAAATGAACATACATATCCTTTTTGCACATATAAAGCTGTATATGAGGGTAAAAAAAATAAAATTAAACTCACTTGATGACATCCTCCTGGAAGGCCTTGGTTTTCCGCCATGTAACAATGCAGCTGATGCAGAAAGCATGATTGCAGTTAGGTAGGATGCCATAACGCCGTTCCTGAGAGGTGGATTTCTCAGAAATTTTGTCCATGCAGATGCCACAGGCCACATCTTTGCTTTGGTCAAAAGCCCTTGAATGCTGCAGCTCCGTCGATACTGCAGCGCCACCCTGATCTGGTCTCTCTGGTGAACCAGTCACCTATAATCCAATAACACGTCATTAAACCCAGGCCGATGAAACCCAGATAGCGTCATCTAGGAGCTACAGAAATGTGTAGTGTTTTAGACCAGTGTTTCGGCTTCAGATAGTTACTTTTTGGATTTCGGCAGGTGCTGCTCCAGGTACAAAAGCTGCAGAACTGTGGTTATCTGAAGAACTGGAGTCTGTAGCACTGATTTGTTGTAGTGGTCTGGTTGCATCTGAAGAGGACAACAATTCAATTCATAAAAGGACAATGCGAGGTGTAGTTTCAAAGAAAAGCATGAATAAGCAGTAATACCCTGCTGGGGAGGTCCATCTTCCACAACCCCAAACTCTTCCTCCTCTGCAATGCCTGTAGTCAAGCGCTCAAAGTTCTGCTGCAGCACGCTCATGCTTGTGACCAGAGGCTCTGAACCCCTTCGAGTCAGGCTGTACGCTCCTTGAGGTGGGAGGAGAGAGGGCTCAGATCCTCGACGATCAGCCAGAGAACGTCCCGCCAGCGCTGAGGGGAACACCGCAGGCGCTGAACCGCGTCTGCTGCTCCCTGAAGAACCTTCACCCGCTTGAGGAACATGGAGATACCTGCAAGACATACAACTCGTAAACCGCTCTTCTAAATGCACGTTCAAAAAGGGCCAGCTGGCTCCCTACCTGCAACGGTCACCAAACCAGCAGCCACCTTTCTGGAAGTACCTACACTGAACTCGAAACGACGGTAATGCAGGAAACTCGTGTAGATAGTAACAGCTTGGACCATAGCGACAAGACCCATTGATGAACTGCCTGCAAAAACAATACGCCAATTACATACATTTGTTGACAACCGCAGCACATCTTTCACAAGTTTTTGAAAACTTGCAACACTTAATCAAAAAGAGGAAATCGTAACGTAGCAGGTTTGAACCCTCGAGCATTAGTTCATGTTATTGACTACGGTTGTACACGGAAACTGTAGGACTTCACAACTAAGAACTAACAAATCTGGGAACCGTCTTAAACTACGTTGCAGTTCAAAGTAACGTATAAGAAGTCTGCACTAATCTTTCTACAAAAACAAAAACAAATCGCTCGCTGCCGTAACCGGATGTAAATATCTGCGCCGAGAAACGTTAAAGCAGGGGGGGGGGAAAAAAGTCACTTTCAAACAGATGATCGGGGCTAAAAAACGAACTTTTCGTCCAGTCAAAAACACGGAACTACCTGCAGACTTCTCTTTCCACGTTTGAGCTGCCTTTTCTCGACTGTCTACAAGGTGTGCGATACCGATCCATTTTTAGATCCTCCAAAGAACTTGCTTTAATGCAGTTGTTGGAGTGAGTAAACGGATCGAGGAGTTGGTGAGAGAGAGTGAAGCGCTGGAGACCCACGTCACGCAGAACGCGCGCTGACCAACCAGGGACGCCCGTGACTTTTCTATAGAATAAACAGCGAGTTTGGAGGGTGACATCTATACAAACGAGACTTGGTTCTCACAATTTATATAAACTCAGATCTTTGTCATAACATATCTCTTCCCCCTAATTGTTTGCTTGGTGGCACTGCAACAAACCAACAACTACTGATCTGCACACTAGTGCAAATGCTAAGAGCTGAAGTATATACCCACCTACAAACTGCACTGCTGTCTCCTGGGCCTTTGGATGATTGTGCGTCCCTTTCCATCTTGCGCTTGTCCCTCTTTGCCTGATGGATGGCTAATGGCATGCACACTTTTATAATTGTTGGGCGGGGCCTCCCCATTTGGCCGTGTGATTGACAGGGAGGCATCTTAAAACGTGATGCCCAGTGAGGGTCCGAATCAATTCCAGCAAACAGTTCTTTCGAACACAATCAGATTATCAAATTTTTTTATATATTTTTTATTAATGAAAATAGAACAAATAACAAACAGAGCATAGCATAAGACAGTCAGTGCTATACAAAGTGTGACATTAATTAGTAACGGGAACTGAAAATAATGTCATAATATTTTAAACATGTTAATGACTTTTTGTTTTTTAACAATTTCAGAGAAGATATAAAACAATCAAATTCCACTAAAAATACCTTAAATATTGGGGATGAATTTAAGCATTTTTGTTTATGTATATAAAATGTTGCCAGCAATATGAATAAATTATCATTTTTACAAAAGGAGCTTAAATCATCAATATCAGAGTATCTTGAAATTATCGATTTAACAGGGTAGATGGTATGCAACATTTTAAAATGTATTTTTTTAGTTTTGTTATTGATACAATATTTAAAGGGAATTAACCAAGCAGTCTTCCCATTAATATTATCAATAATAGAGTTCCAAAAGAATTTTCCTCTAGGTGTTATTTTGTTTTGTTTTTGGAAAACAGTACAAATAGGTTCAGATGATCAATTTAGCGATTCTTGTATGGAGCAATTGCGTCATAACGCGATACTTTCCTTCATATTAATTTTTATTATGAGTGTCTGTTGTAATTTTATATGTCCATGAACCTAAATAATGAATACTAAATATAATGATAAATATAACTAAATATAATAATATACAATTTATTAAAATAAGCTCTGATAAATCGGTTCTCTGTTCAATATGACTCGAGATCCGAACGGACTGATTCAATTCGACTCACAAATGAATCTGATTCATTGAAAAGATTCGAAAAGAACGATTCGTTACTATGCCTTGCAACATTTAAATTACTCGTGAAATCCAAGATTGCACCGGCTATAAACGGTTATTCATTGACTCCAACTGTTTATTATTAAAATGTTTAATAATTTTTCACACACTTAATTAGTTTGGTAAACCATAAGTGATGCAGCTGACGCTGAAAACAACACCCTCGACAAAGTAACATAATTCCAAAATAATATAACCGACTGCTGTACAGTTTTGTGTGGAGTCTACCTTTTACTTTAGTAAAAGTGCAAAATCAAACAGAGGAAAAAAGAACTACAAAATAAAAGCCCTACAAACACATACAGTAAGTGGCATTACAAGAGCTTGACTGTGCTCTGATCTCCTCAAAGAAACATACTAGATATCACTTGCAAACCAAAAACCATGATGGAAAAGACAACTTGTAAAGGTGTTAGCCCTCATCAAGCAAATAAAGAATAACATGACGGTCGTAGTAGTAAACGGTGACTAGATGTTCTGCGTCCTTGAGTTTTAAATAAAAAACACTCCGCAAAAATCAGAGAAAATGTCAGTATTCAAAGTCAATAATTGTAAAAGTCCTTTACAAAAATTCATTTAAAAAAAACCAAGGGCACCGCAGCGCCATTAAGATGTGTGCACTCTCTCCGTTCAGGAGGGAAACTGAAGTCCCTTCTTCAGTCAGGTCCTTGCACGTCAGTACATGTCTTTATAGATCTCCTGTAAAAGCGGGTGGAGGGAGGTCTCAGATTCAGTCTTTTTGATCATCTGAACCAGCTGGGCGTTCTCTGTGACCAGCTGTCTGAGGTCAGCCATCTTCTGGAGCAGTTTGGGGAACAGATGAGGAGAGTCAGGGTGGTGCACCTGAAGATGTTGGTCCAGAGCTTGCAGGATGCCATCCTGCATCTGTTCAACTTGCTTCACGTTCATCAGCCCAGGACGATCTAGAGCAAAGAGAAACAATGTTTAGCTTCCATTTTCTTCTTTAGCTATTTTCCTGACAGGGCTCCAGACAAAAAATAAACTGAAGGAGCCATTGGCTCCTATAAGAAACAAAACTAGGCGCCAAATTATTTTTTTAGGTGCCACAGAATAAACGTGTTTTATTTATTTATTTATTTAACACAGTCATACTGTCATGTGTTTATGTCTCATCTTTTTATGTCTTTATCAGCATTTTAATCCATCTTGTAGATGTCCTGGGAACTAAGGTTCACAAAGTGTGAACTAAACGTCTTTTCCAACTTGAGAACTATATACAGTCAAAGACTTGTTTATTACACAGAATCTGTGGCAATGTCATGGACCATAATGTCAACATCAACCTCTTTATATTTATTTTTTCTAGCTGACTGATGATATGGACGCAGAATGGTTAATCTGAGGTAAATGATTGTTACGTGGCATTGTTTTTTTTCCGCAGTTTGAAACACTGAATGAGCGATTACATGAGACATTTGAGTAAGTTGTACTGTAGGCTATCTTATAAAATACTTTTTGATGTTCATTCATGTTATAGTAGTAAAGAGAAAGATATGATAAGTTCACGTGCCACTTAAGACGCGCTAAAGCGATATTGATCATGCTACATTAAGGAGAGCCAAAACTTATTTATTGTTTGAATTTCATTATGAATTTGGCAGGATTTTAAAGCCGTTACCTTACTTTGTTTATTAAAAAGTAACAAAGCTTAATGCGATTTATTGTACGGCAAGTGCACTACAAATAATATGAAGTTCACACATTAACAGAACAGCATAGATTAAAGATCTTGAAAACAAAAAGCCATATCGATTATAAATGAGAATAATAATATCCACACAGCTGACAGCTTTACCTGTTGTAGTTTGTTCAAGTTGTGCATGAAATAGATTCTGCTTTTCTGCACTTGTACTTCGCATGTCTCCGTCATTTTCGATCTCTCTCTCATGCTGCACAACTGGAGCTGCTTTTAGCAGATGTGCCGTCGATGGCGCTCGGCAGAGATGAGGACTGTTTGAAACTCTTTTTTTCCACTAAAACTTTGATGCGCATGGTCTCGCTTTATTACGTCAACATAACAAAAGATGTGATCTTAAAACAATCCGGAAAAAAGGCACATTTTTAAGTCATAACATGTACACTTATATAGTCACCAGTGGCGACCTCAGCAAAAAGTTAACTCGCAAATTAATATTTTTGGTCGCAAATGCGGTTCTCATTTGTGGATGTAAAGAATATGAACAACAACAAGGGACATTTGAAAACATACTGATCAAACAAACACCACGGCCTTACCTCCACACAGTATGATGGCTGCCACAAACAGAGCCAGGTCACTGTCATCCAGCTCCAAGGCATTGAATTTCACCGCAAACTCAAATTTGGGCTCCATGATCTCGCTGAAAGGTTTGCGTAGACTACGCAGGAACTCTCTCGTCACAAAGCCCTTCCCATTGGCCACCAGCAGCCCGTCTTTATTCATGAGCGATGGGAGCATGGCAAATATGGCCTCATGGACTCCATATTTTAACAGCGTTACCTGAGAGGAAAAGTGGGTGATGAATTTAGTGGAAGAATATGCATCAATATTTAATTAATGTATAATACATTTTTAACTAATGAGGGGGAAAAAAAACATCAATCCTAGCAGTCACTACTTGAAAAGAATAAACCACTAACAATAGATTTAACGGTTTACAAGGTAGTAAAGTAACATGGATCATTCTCACCTGATCATTAAGGAATAGATCCACAAAGCCAGGGATGTTTTTGGCAAACTCTGTGAGCTCTCGCACAGTTTCAACTGTAGTGCACTGGCAGCGGTAGAAGACATGGACCCCGATCTCTTTGTTGGGTGGTGCTCCATTAAGCTGGTTCCAGACCAGCCCGTTTTCTGCCTGCCACAGTGAGTCCATATCATGGATCACAAAAGGCTGGAGATGAAATGAGAACAATTAAAAACATCTGGAATAACTACAAATCAATCATATACTATTTTGTGTACAAATAAATAAACAAACAATCTGCCGTATCTGCCGGAACTTCAATAACATGCATCCTTAGACTTTGAGAAAACTGAAATTGTCAGTGGCATCTCACTAAAAGCAGAGCGCATACCGATGTGCAACTCGTCTTGCCCGTGAGGATGCTCCGTGCTTTTTTCTTGGTCATGTTGAGGTTCCTCAGGTAGGATGTGTTGACATGCTTGGCCAGTGTTTTGAGGTCAGCTCCACTAGAGCTTTGCAGTTTCTCCCCAGCGAGGAGCCCTGCCACTAGCTTCTTCTTCTCCGCCTCTGGCATACGTCCGTACCTGATCGCTGAGGCAAAGAAACAAAAACAAGCTCCCTTTATCACAACATAACTCAGCACACATTTCAAAATAAAGCAACAATTTATAAACACTGGAATATTAGTTGCTGATTATGACTATTAAATGAACTGTTGAAAATTTTCTGAAAATGTACCCACCCTCAGACCCTCTAATATGCTGATGAGTTTGTTTCATCATCGGAAAAGACAAAATGAATGGGTGCCGTCAGAATGAGAATTCAAACAGCTGATAAAACAGTGGTGTAAAGTTGAGCACACTAATGATGGATATGTTTCTAACAAACACACAGGTTTTCACTTCACAGGACGTTAACTGATGAACTGGCACCGTGTGGATTACTTATGGATAATTGGATGTTTTTATCAGCTGTTTGCAACTCATCTATATGGCCTAAGGGTGAGTACATTTTCAGCAAATTTTCATTTTTGGGTGAATTATTCCTCTATAATCAGTTTGCATATTAAATGAGTCAAAATTCTGAATGCTTTAAATTGTGGTTGTATGCAGGCTGCTCACCATCATGTGACATGCCCAATGCCAGGCACTTCTGGAAGCGACAGTACTGGCATTTGTTCCGGCTCTTTTTCTGGACTTTACAGGCACGCTCACACCGCTCATACTCCAGCTTCATACGAATGGTGCGTCTGAAAAACCCCTTTAAAAAAAGATGACAGTTGCTCACTGAAAAACAGCAAGGCAAATATGCGCTTGGATTGCTGAATTATTTCACCACAGAAACGTAACTTTAAAGCATTAGGAAGCCCAGTGAAACAGAGTGGTTTTATTAAAGATGCTGTAAGAGATTTCAGTCATTTCGCTAAAATTAGTCTTGAATTAGACTGCCTCATCCCTTCAAACACAAAAACCCTCCAAAATCATGTCAATTCACATGCAGACCGGGTTTCTGATTGTGGTGTCTGAAAACCCCCCGCAGTTTTGGCTGTTTACAGAGCCAGATGTGATTTCTCAAGACATCTATTTCAGTGTTATGTTAGATAGTATTGCTTATGGCACCTTTAATATTGGTATATTATAGATGTCTGTTTATTTTAGGCCACAAATCCACCCACGGTTTGTGAAAAACCTTGACTGTAGTAATTTGGACAAGTTCAGCAAAATTACCTTGCAGCCTTCACAAGCATGAACTCCATAATGAAATCCTGAGGCTTTATCTCCACATATGCGGCACTCAACGTTCAGGCCCATACTACTGGGGTCATCCCGACCCAGCCGTAACTGGTCTGACAGTGAGAGAGAGGGGGTCTGTAATGGATCTATAAATGTGAGACAGACACAGAAAGAAGTGTTTTAAAGCATCTCTTATCAGAGCACTGCAAAAGTATATATTTTATGGATAAAATATTACTATTTATTTACATTTATTTTAACATCAGAAATCCTGACAATGAATGTCTATTGAAATGTTAGAAAACAATTCTCTTCTATATTTTACTATTGATTTATTGATTTTAATCTCCTATTAATGTTGTTTTCAAAGCCAACAAAGGATAAAACCAGGTCATGAATAAGTCATAAAAATACTATATAAACAATAATTACATTAATATAATAACATATATAATAGTAATAAATATAGTTTTATTAATAAAATATATTTATGTTTTGCTGTCCATTATATATATATATATATATATATATAAACATGATGAAATATAAAGTACAAATGAAGTATGCATAGTTCCATAAATACAGTAAATATTCAATATCAATAATAACATAAATTTGTTTTTTTAGAAATACACTGATTGTATTAATGATGTAGAAGCCTTTGAAAGCTATGTATCAAATATGATACATTCAGATTTTTTCACCCCACTTAACCCTAAAAATATGTCTGTCAGGATGTCATAATACTTGGCTCTGATGTGTAAGCGCAGTTTTACCTGAAAACATTTGAGCTGTTACAGGAGTGTCACTATTCTGTTGAGGACTCTCCAGTGGTTTCCCATCTCCATTCTGTAGAGTGCCCCCCCACGATCCCTTGCTGCTGAGTGAGACCTCTAATCCTTTGGCATCAGACGTCTCGCTGCCCTCCACCTCCTCACCCGATGCTGAGCTTGGCTCCTGTAGGTCTGACATCCCTCCACAGTCTGAGGATGCAGACTCCATCCATGTTGAGTCTTCAAGAATCTGGACAGGGCTCAAGTCTGACCGCGGAGACGACTGGCCCTCCGTAACTCCTGTGAACACGAGGGGCTCCTGGGCTGCTGCAACATCTCCTGGGCCGTCACATTTAATTTCTGAGGTAGGTTGCTCAACCTGTTCCATGGTTCTCCTGTATAGCTGCTAAATCTCATAACCATCCATCACGTGACATTGCCTCTGAAAAGACAAAAGACAAGTAAACAGGTGTGAATTATTGCAATGGTGCTTCAATACAACACGCTATCAGAATATAACCATCATCGCTGGTGAAGTGACCTGGTGTGTAGTGCACATGCTCCAGAGATTACATGGATGACCTGAGTTTGACCTGAGATCCAGTACTGCTCGTATCATTCCTAACTCCACCTCACCCCCGTTACCTCTCTGCTGACTCAAATAAAATTAAAGGGAAAAAAATTATCATGAAGATTTTCAAAGCACAGCAAGGCATTGTTCACACTGCAGGAAAAAAAACAATTTCTTAATACAGATTTTTCATGTGCTGAGTCTGATATTTCAAAACATATACTGCAAAAGAGGGTTGTGTATGTAAAAAAATGTAATAATTTTCCTCATAAAGATACTGAGTTTGAACAAACAAAAACTTTTTCATCAAGACCACATTAAATTGATCAAAAGAGACAGTAAAAACATTTAAAATATTACAAAAGATTTCAAATGAAGGCGGTTTTTCTATTAATAAAAGTATCCTGATGCATCATAGTTTCCACTAAAACGTTAAGCAATAATATATACACAATTTCAACTTTGCTAATAATAAGAAATGTCTCTTGAGCACATCAGCATATTAGAATAATGACCATGTGACATATATATATATATATATATATATAAAATTTTATTAATATTTCACAATATTACTATTATATATTATTACTAATATTACCATTACTATATTATTACTGCTCATTTTAACTGTATTTTTTTATTAAATAAATGCAGCCTCGGTGAGACATTCAAATACATAAAATTGACAGTTTTGAACAGTAGTGTATGTAAAGATGTATGTAAAAAAAAATGCAAGTTAATAGTTTTATATTGCAGTATTTGGTATTTTGATTCAATTACATCAATTGCAGTGCTTCCTTTGATGAGTAGATCATACCCTTATAAAAGCCTCTTAAATGCCTTCTTTTGTGCTTCCAGTTTGTAAAGTGTCTATGCTCCAGAGCTGGCTGGTTGGTCTCTCTCTCTTTTTTTTTAAATGCCTATGAAGAAAATGAATGTGAAAATACTGCAAAACCAAGCCTGCTGAAAAAGTGGGCGGTTACCGTTGCACTCTGTTAGCCACATGAAATGTAAATCTTTTTTAAGGCCTGGCTCAAATGCTTTCAGGAAAAGAGAATCTTTAAATGTAGAGTCAGAAAGTAGCTTTTGTCTTTTTTGGCCTTTCATTCATTCACCACTTCCGATTACACAACCTTTATCTTTTTGAGGGCGTCAGATGCAAACTGTGCCATCAGCAATTACAGGTCTGTGGTATATTAAGTCTACACATACAGGGTGAGAGGTGACAAATCCATTATGAGACGCTGCTAGGTTGTTTACTTAAAAAGATAAGATAACCCTGAAAAGAAAGCAGCTGTGGGAAGATTGTATGACCAATAGAAATAGATCTAGCAAAAGACTTCGGTGTTATAAAACCTACATAATCAGGTCACCTAAACAAGAATGGTGTATCAAAACGGAATGAAAAGAGAAAGAATAATCGTGATCTTCCTTCCTCAAGAGACACAGAACTGACTGTGCCCATGTATGTTAAGCACAGGTCACATAACTTACATCCTAACTGAGAACAACAGCTGGGCAATGAGCCATGTCAAACACTAAGACCTGAATAAATGCTATTTGTAAAATACTGAAGAGATCCATGCACTCACTCACGATGACCCATTTGCATGAGCAAACAAAAAAAACAATCGGTCAACACAAAGGTCAAGATATATTGTGTTTCATCTGGTAAGCACTAAGCAGTGTACTTCCTCAGACTACAAGGTGTTTATAGAATGTCTTAACGAGATAGTTTACCTAAAAATGAAAATCCTGTCATCGTTTATTCACCCTCAAGTCTTTCCAAACCTTCTGGGGAACACACACACAAAGAAAAATATATATTTTAAAGAAATCTGGAGTCTAAACAACATCGAATCACATTGACTTTCATTGTTCACAGTTGTACAGTAAAGCATACCATTTTGGAACAACATGAGGGACAAAACTATTAGACATTGGATGAATAAGGTCACATCCATCATAGCTCTCAGCATGGAGAACATTGATAACAGATGTGAGTGTTTGGTCATATGGAGGATAGAGACCCCGACCAAACAGACTGTGTTTGTAATCCGTGGATTCTGACAAGAGGATTACGCAGTAGCCACATCAATGTGACAAACTAAGACAATGCAATTTTTAAAAAAAACGTCTCAGTTGTTACTGAACCACACTGGATAACATGAAAAAAACACATCACTACCGTATATGTGCAGGCTTTACGTTAACTTATACACATGGCACGCACAGTAAATGAAGCGATCAGAAATGCTTTGAGCCACTGTTCAGACTTGTCAGCAACCAGTCGTTCTGGTTCTCAACTTATCTGAATAGTCCTGAAGCTGCATGCTAGAGGCGACCCGCACAGAGGAACTAAATGAGTCAGTGTGCGGAGGTTTTGACAGACATGAATTCCAGTGTCTGCACCTCTCAGTTGCTTCATCCTTGTTTTTAAGGCAAGACACCACAGGAAAAACCATTGATAATATCCTAAATAACTCCACTTCAGTAGTACTTAGCTTTATTCTGAAGTTTTTACAGAGGGATTTATTCATATATAATTTATTTATTTTATATAACATTGTATTCCTGAAAACATGATTTATTTCTGACTCTTGACAGTATTCTCTGATTTAGTTTTCATTTCATATTTCTGTTATATACATTCTGTTTTAAAATCCAATCAGAAAACGGATCAAGCGATGATCATCGCACTGTTATTCATACACCAACTTTTGCTCAATCTGGTCTAGTAATTGCATTCCCTTTGATTACTCGGTTGTCAGGGTTGACAGAAGTGAAGGAACTAGAAAAGATGCGCGTATTCTTGATTATTTCGCCTGAAGGGGTCGCTCTTCGGCCCACAGTAGTCCATGAGGTCACTGAGGTTTTTGTTTTTTATTTTGTTGTAACGTTAAACGCTTTCAGATTTCTCCCGGTAAAATAACTACGGCTAAGTTACATAGGTTTAAGATACCAAATACGGGCTTTTTTCATTTCATATTTCTGTTATATACATTCTGTTTTAAAATCCAATCAGAAAACGGATTAAGCGATGATCATCGCACTGTTATTCATACACCAATTTTTGCTCAATCTGGTCTAGTAATTGCATTCCCTTTGATTACTCGGTTGTCAGGGTTGACAGAAGTGAAGGAACTAGAAAAGATGCGCGTATTCTTGATTATTTCGCCTGAAGGGGTCGCTCTTCGGCCCACAGTAGTCCATGAGGTCACTGAGAATAAAGCGCAAAACAAATTATCGACCTCAATTTGACCAATTACAGCGGTATTCAAACTGTATATAAAAATGTGAATATAACTAAATACGCGTAGAACAATTCACGTCTATAGTCGATTTTTCAGCTTGAGTGTAATAAATGTCCCTCACCGCGGTTTGATATAGACTGTAGGATTTGATGTATGGCCTAATCACGTGATAAGCGTTTGTCCAATGACAGCTTCTAGGTCTTACAGGCGGTTGTGTGTTTGACAGCTAAAAGCATGGCGTGAATGTTAGGTAATACAAGGTGGCTAGATTCAGCCAGTAGGAAATAGATGAATATTAATGCTGCTGTATGAATCATAAATGTTATTTCCCGCGAGGGATGAAACCGTTCCAAAACGGGCTAGTTACTCTATGCTCTGATCTACTGGAAAATTCCATGTATGTTAATAAACATTGTTAAATGATAACAAACAAGCTCATTTTAATACATTAATACTAATAATAAGTTCCAAAGTGCTCCTGTAGATGGGGCCATTAGATCAGAGTCTAACAGTAAACAGCTGATGAACTAAAGTTAAATGTAATCATGCATCACCAAGGGAGATATTAGGCTTGTTTGAGATGCGCCTCGCCTCGCCTGAAATGTTGGTGAGAGTAGGCGGCTGCAGTGAGGGGAGGAGTGAAATAAGCGCAGTCAAGACGGACAGTTCTGACCTCTCGAAGTGGAACAGATACCAACGAGATCAAAGGCAGATATCGCGTTATTCACACTCATGTGCTGTGTTGCCAATAAACGTGATATAATTGCTTTTATGAAAATAAATATGATGAACAAGACACTCAACGTGCTTGCTATTTATTTCCATACGAAAGGCGTATTTATCATCTATTTTTACTTTAATATAAACATGTATTTTAGATTTTTATGGAAATATGACAACAATCACATATCTCACAGAGATCGCACTGTTATTGTGTTTGGGAAGATTAATTCATAATTTAAATACATAATCACATGAAATCAGAAAAAAAATAAAACATTTTAGAAGAGAACGCAGCATCACGGTTGTCTGAACCAATGAGCATTAAGCTGTATGTCAGTCAGTCGTTTCCCATCATGCCTTTGATCAGCGCAGTCGCAGTCTAAATGGATTTAAGCATGCACTTCAATTCAATTAATGTTTATTTGTAGAGCGCTTTTCACGATACAAATCGTTGCAAAGCAGCTTTACAGAAAATGTATTAAAGTTACTACTTCATATTTAAGTAGCTTATCAGTGGTGACTATGTCAAAGTGATGTCCACATGGCAGAAATGTTAATGACATGTAGTCAAACAGACAGTGAACACAATGATTATATGTTGCGATCAAATTTATAGCATAATCTGGAGTTCTGTATGTTGGTTCAGGGTTGGGATCATCTGAGGTCCTCTGAGGGGTTGGGATTATCTCTTCTCAGGTGTTCGGTCATCTCAGATCTCTGCAAGGGTTGGATCCAGACCGAAGCTTGTTTCGCCTAATTCCTAGTTACCTCGGGATGCCAATCCCTTAGCAGAAAAAGAGAAGCAAACAGAGAACAAATAGCTTTCCTGCTGTTCAACCCAAACAAAAGAATGCTAATGTGCATTTGATCAGATATAACAAGTACAAGGTTGTGAGATACATTATGTGAATGCTTGGCTAATTAGATGTGTCTTTAATCTAGATTTAAACAGAGAGAGTGTGTCTGAACCCCGAACATTATCAGGAAGGCTATTCCAGAGTTTGGGTCAGAGTTTTGCGACCTGATGGATTGTAGCATGATAGAAGACTAGTTACAGGAGTTAAACCATTTAGGGCCTTATAAGTAAGTAGTAATGTTTTGTAGGCCTATCTATAGAATTTAATAGGTATACCTATAGCAAGTGCAGAGACTGTAAAATTGAGGTAATATGATCATATTTTTCTTGATAATTTTTTTTGATCTGGTAAGGACTCCAGCAGCTGCATTTTGGACTACCTGTAGCTTGTTCATTCAAGATGCAGGACAACAACCTAGCAGTGCATTAGTCCAGCACAATAGTCCAGTCTTGAGGTCATGCATGCATGAACTAGCTTTTCTGCATCAGAAACGGGTAACATGTTCCGTAGCTTGCAATGCTGTTTTGATAACATGTGAAATATGTTATTGTCACCTATTGTAACATAAAGCATAATAAAATTCACACAAATCAAATATTTCACACAATATCATGCATGTATCATGATGTGTAGTTTCTAGTTTGTGAGTCACAGGCGTACCATACAGCAGAAATTTGTGGTGCTTTCAGATTCCACATGACCATACTTATATAGATATTTTAGTGCATAACCGCTAAGAACCTTAATGTGATTGCACCATACATTTAAAAAAAAATGGTTGTGCAATATGCAGCTCGAAAAACCTCAAACCTCTCATTTCATGTAGCAGTCTTTTTCCTTTTTTGGCTGTGCTGAACCCATGGCACTGCAAACACGACAATGTAAGCTGCCATTTAAGATATTTTGAATAAACATCTTCAGTGGCATCAGATTTATTTACACAGACTGTTTAATGCCGTTCAAGGGTGGCATGAATGCTCTTAAAACAATTATAATTGCATAAATAATGTTATAAAATTTATGTTTTAAATATAAAATTTTTAACATGTATTAAAATATTAAATATAAAAAATATTAATATTTTTAAAAAGTTATGTTGGGAAAATAAATTATGTTTAACTGTAGTTATATAGTTTATATATAAAACTAAAACCTCCAGTAGTCGTTATTGAATTAGTCATCAATGAGGAATCGACCATCTGTGCTGCTCGGAGATGCGCAAGGTTTCTGCTTACTTGCTTTTGAACTATTTTCGTTGGAGATATAACGTTAGAGCAAAACAGACAACAGGCTACTGTGTCTAAAATGTAAGTCACTTAATATTAACAACTTCTTTCTGAACTGTATAAAATAAATACATTTCAAATTTGCAATCTCATGTTCGGTAAAACAGCCCTCTTCCTCTGATATTGCTTAACTGTAAAAAAACAACAACCAAAAAAACACGAACATAGGGCCTACATACAAAAGTCACTGACACTTGGTGAGAAAACGGACGTGAGGCCTGAGAACATTTGGCAGTAATCATGTTAAAACCGTTACACGTCCGTGCGAACAAACAAACATAAATACATACATGCATAAATAAATAAATATCAGAGTGGAAGATATTTCAGGCCCAAGCATAACAGTCTAAAGATTTGACACATAACAATGATTTTTAATGTTAATTTCTCGTGAACTTTGATATTAGTTTGCTATTTACCCTATAACAACCAAATGTTTGTTACCGTCGTTACCAATCAGTGTTGCCAGATTGGAAATGTCCAAGTATCGTACCAGAAGCTCAAAATTATCGTATTTGGAAGAAAATGATCGTACACGAGTCAAACGTACAGAATACAGCTATTTATCTAAACCAACAACTTTTTGACACGACCTGCAAATTACCACAATAGATAACTAGGCGTACCG